CAAAATGGTAATTAAAAAGGATATTTTGATTAGGGCTTCAAAAGGTTGACCCCTAAGCCTTTGATTTATTCCTAGAAGGTGCTTCCAATGGTTGACCAACTTTCACACTATACAGTAACAGTTTTAAAGGTGAAATGTGAACAGATTACTAATCAGTTCAATTTTTAAGTCAGGTTGAAAACCAGAATAGATCGTCTGCAACTGTAAACAAGAGATGGAACACTACCTCAAAATGACTATTGTTCTCAATTGGCCCTCTATCAATAACCTATGTTGCCTGTACAGCAAGGCATTTTGAGAAGGAGAAAACCGGCCGGATGAATGCTTTAGGTTTATCAATAACGAAGATAAACATGGTTTTAGTTACACACCGGTAATCTTTGAGTAGACTCATTTAAACTCATTGTAAATATTCATTGTTATTAATTTTGAAATAACTCCTTTAATACTTTGCAATTGCTCGAATTCGAGCAACATGTACACTAGTTACATATTATTGCACTTACGATTTATTTGATCCGTTTTTTACGTGAGTCACAACGTTTTTAATCTTACTTGGTTTTGGATTTTATTACAAAACGTGATCGGAAATGGTTGCAGTATTTGTAAACAAAATGTAATAACAAATTTCCAGCGACAGCTAGAAAAAAATTGTCTTTATCCAGCTTTTCATCTTTCACAGCGGTTCGTTATTTCATTGATGTCGTATTCTCCAAACAAATAATTAGAATTTCATAAATTACTGGTAAACATTAGGAGTAGCCTAAACTTGACAAAAATGCAAAAAAATGGGGGTTTGAAAAAAATGTATTTTAATTCAAAAGTAGTGAGGCCATATTTTAATGGCTTAAGTTACTCGTGTCAATCCACCGAATCCAAAAAGATGATTTAAATCGAATCACGATCGATGCTCTAGTGTTTGAGAAGAAGGTCACGTAAAATGCCTTCTGGGCCTTGACAGACAAGACAGAAATTGAGTTAAAGACTTGTTTTGGCTTCTTTAATGTATGAAACGTAAAAATGACCAAAAAATATACAATTTTAAGCAATGTTCATACTAAACTCTAATTCCATTAAAATAAATTCGTAAAACCAAAAGAACCATGAGGTAAAAATACCTTCCCTATCCCGAAATATACAATTTTATTCTTTTACATTATTCTCCGTTATTTCACAACCAGCATTGACAACCAGACCCAATCATAAAATATGTTTATGTTTTATTTTTTACGATTAATTATTTGTGTAAACAACTAGACTTTTTAGCCAATGTAAAACTCCGGATAGTGTCTATAACATAGGGATTATTCTATTTCGTATTACTAGGAGGTAATTGATAGTGAAAAAATATTAATTTATTAATCAACCTGTAGCAGGCTTTTTATCAACATTTAATTGCATTTTTACCACTAGTAATCAGAAAATAACCTCCTTCAGTGATCGATATGTTTTAAATTTCACGATCTGCGCTCGTACATGTGCCGTTAGCTATGAGTGTATGTGAAAATTGGTTAACCATTTAAATCATTGTCTGAAAATAAATCAAATGCTTATGGGTTAAGCTTTTGGAGCCCTTTATCAAAATATCCTTTTTAATTACCATTTGCGTGGCACTGAATCTTAAGCTTAAAAATGCCACCTAAATCAGTTACAGCTTAATGAATTTGGAAGATAGATGACATCAAACAAGACAACGACATATCACATGCTTAATACTAGATATTAGAGGGTAATTATTAAACGAAGAGCCATTGGTTATTTTTATAAACCAATTACTAAAATCAACTACAACAATGAATATTGGCCGATACGTACCATATTTTAAGCACGGGGGTAGATTTCTGGGGGTAGATTTTCGGGGGTGGATATCCGGGGGTAGATGGCTGGGGGTAAATGTCCGGGGGTAGATGTCCGGGGTAGATGTCTGGGGGTAGATGTCCGGGGGTGGATGTCTGGGGGTAGATATCCGGGGGTAAAGTTCCGGTGTCAGTTTTATTAGCATTTTGATTAATTACAACTGTTAAGCAAACCGTGAAATGCGAGTTGATTTGACCATAGAGAAAATAGACAATGGACTAGATTTCAGCATATACCGGAAGCCAACTACTTCAAACCAGACAATACATAACACCTCTTACCATCCACCCTCACAAAAGTTTGCAGCATACAACAGTATGGTGTATAGACTGCTAAACGTCCCCATGTCACCCACTAATTATCAGAAAGAACTCAATATCATTAGGCACATAGCAACAGCTAATGGGTTTGAAGCAAATATGATCGACAGATTAATTAACAAACAGAAGTGTAAAAATAGGAATAAAAATAATTAAGTTCAGCATGATAAGAAGTATGTATGTGTGGAATATTCCCATTCGTTACAGAATGTATTGGCCAAAGAATTAAAAAGACACGGTGTAGAGTTAACTTTTAGGACAAATAACAAGACTATGAACAAACTTAATGTTACGAGAAAGGTTATTGATAAGGGTGACAGGTCAGGGGTATACAGAATTCAATGTGCTAGTTGTCCTAGTGTTTGTGTAGGAAAAACGGGGTGCACTTTTAAAACTAGATATAAGGAGCATCATCCGAAACCGAAAGCTGACAAACAAAAGTCTACATTTGCCCAACATCTAATGGACAATAATCACGACCTAAATGACCTCAACACTGGCTTGGAAATCCTTCACACATGTACAAAAGGCAATAAATTGGACACCCTGGAAGAATTTGAAATTTACAAAGCACATACAAAAAATGACAATAGCGAACTTATTTTAAATGACAAACTAAAATTCAAATCACATGTAATTTTCAATAGTATTTTAAGTCAGAGGAAGGATTCAAGACCAAGAGGGCAAAGTACAAATGATAATGCCGCCACTGACACGACACCGCAAGAATGACTCCAGTCAGCTACTTGCTCTTGTGCGGATATGTCTAATCAACAGGCCTGTTTAGTAAAAAACCCCCGTTTATGTATGTGTACGTCGCGTGTGACAGTTTGTGTTTTTGTATATTAACGACGCCACTTAGGCTGAACGTCTGATGATGGCATGGATATGCTGAAACGGCCGTAACAATGTTTCAACTTCTATGAGCTGATTGACGAAGGTAACCTTATTTATTGATTTAGTCACAAGATCAGCTCAGGGGCTAAAAAATATGGATTTTAATTGAAACATTAGATGTCTTTGGAATACTCTGAGAGTGAGAGGCGAAACATAACTTTCAGCAATGATGCATCAAAATCTACCTTTACTGAGTGATTCAGAAATGTTGGCCTGATTGTAAAATATTTTGTCAACATGACTAGAATGTTAACAAAATAGATGTATCAGCACAAAATAGTTTTTAAGATAACAAATTGCAGCATAGGACAACTTATATAGTGTTCTAACCTAAAACATTGTTATTGTTTCAATGTAAAAATTCAATTGATACAAAATAACTACGTTACCAATTTATGTTTGTAAACAAAAATAATTATTTTAATGGAGTCATAAAATCAATTTAAATAATTATTTACCACACAAAATATTTGTAATGTAAAACATTGTTCACCACTCGGAGCAAAAGTATATTATTTATGGTACTTAAATTGTGTTATAGTACGTAGCAGTACAGTATTATTAGTTTATTAGGTGCTTGTTGCACTGTTCTACACACTGCTCAAGCGCTACAACTCATTAAGTGGTATCCTGTAGACACACTGTTGATATATACTGAATTGTGGCATGGTGCCACTATTTAGAGTGTAGGCTGGCACGAGAATTGGCAACATAGCATTAGGGAAGTTATAGTTCCAGCGGACGGCGCGAGGCGCGCTAGCTACCGGTATGGTTTCGTGTTCCACAATTCGGCGTGTACCTGCGCTACTTAAACTCACATCAACGAGTTCAAAAATACTCAATTGTGGCATGTGATGTTTAAACGACGTAATAATGCTGGAAAACCCAAAAAATGATCGAATTAGCTGTGGCACCCTGAAAAAGGTGCCACAGTACGGCCGTGTGCCTGTGAAGGATGCCACTATTCGGTGAATACAGACACACAAACTCACACACCCACACACACACACAAACTTACAAACTTTCAGATTTATAATATTAGTAAGATTTATTGACCATCATCTGTTCACCATTGCCTTTGTAATGAAGAATGTTTTATGCAATAAAATACTTATGACTTGATATATATAGATATAGATTCTTTTGTTAGGTTGTAAAAGAAACTTAATGATACGGTTGTCAAATCTTGGTCTTCGGGTGTTGACCGCGTCGTTGAATTAGTTAAACTAGAGGCCGACGTTTCGGATGTGTAGCAGCTATCCATCTTCGGGGCGAACTACTATTCAACTGAAGTAGGTCGTGTGCGTCGTCCTATTTTATATTGGGTGGTGGGGGTGAGGGGTGATGGTAGGTGGAGTCTTGTAGAACGTTCTGGAATGTTGTAGGGGTTCTGGCCTTTCTGGAATGTTGTTGCTCTGGGGTTGCTTGATACCTTTGGTATTTTTGTGATCTGTAGAACTTTCTGGGTCACATTTACAAGATAAATGTGTTTATCATCAGTAAATTATCTTGTAAATGTGACCCAGAAAGTTCTACAGATCACAAAAATACCACAGGTATCAAGCAACCCCAGTGCAACAACATTCCAGAAAGGCCAGAACCCCTACAACATTCCAGAACGTTCTACAAGACTCCACCTACCATCACCCCTCACCCCCACCACCCAATATAAAATAGGACGACGCACACGACCTACTTCAGTTGAATAGTAGTTCGCCCCGAAGATGGATAGCTGCTACACATCCGAAACGTCGGCCTCTAGTTTAACTAATTCAACGACGCGGTCAACACCCGAAGACCAAGATTTGACAATCTGCAGTGACCATGGAAGCTTATCACCTAGATTAATGATACGGTGTAAACCTCTAGCAAAAATGTCTGTGGGAGTTTACAAGTAATGATAAATAATTGAATATTATGTTTTAGAGATAATGAAGACAGCTCTACACAAACATTAGATATTAGAAGAGAAAATCAAAATACTCAGACTGCCAATGCTCAAACTACTGGGGTATGTAGGGCCTAAATAACAAGATATTATGTGTGTAGTAATTGTAGTTTTCTTCTTTATAGGATTCAAGCAAAAAGAAATGTTATTGTTATTACAAACCTATCTCACATATTTTATGATGAACTAGCCGCCATACCCGTGACTTGCAACGAGGTCAAGTTGCAGAAGAGAAAATTTTGGTTCCTTGAAAATGCCGTAAAATGATTATTTCATCCTCTATTTAATTTAAAAACCAAATTCAACTGTAGGCCTATTACTCAACTTGATAACAGTCCGTTTTTTTAACTCAGACTGTGAACACTTAAAATACCCCCGCAGCAGCAAACCTGTCGAATAAGCAAATTTCCATTTACCTGGATTGATTTTCTAATATAATCTATTAAATTAACATTTATGTTTAACGAGTACCTAGGTTAGCTGCTACAGGGAAACTAATAAAGTGTGTTTTTTATTAAAATATCAATAGCTTAGTGTGAAATAAATAAATCCGCCAAGTTCAGATCAGTTTTCTGTAATATCATGGGAACGTCCTGCAAGGAGTCAGAAGGAAATCTTAAATAGAAGCATAGGTTGATATGTACACTTAATTAAAGGCCTTTAATAGCAGAGTATGATGCCGCAAATTTAAACTGAAACGGACAACCAAGTCAAAAATGGCAGCAGTTTACAGAATCATTGAATTTGCAATGCTACCTCCTCAGGGGGGCAGCCGCTAGGAATCGGAAGAAAATCATAAACGTAAAAGTGATATTTTTTAACATTGTTTAAATTGCAGCTGACTTTTAACTTGTTTTTGTTTCTAGTTTTTGACTCATGAATAAGTTCAGTTCTGTTTTATTAAACTAATTTACCTATCAATTTATGTATTTACTTCAAACATAAAACTGGCGACGAGGATGATTTTATGGAAAACTTAGAGTGCAAGATAGTTTATTCAATTCCACAGCTTAATTCATTATAATGTCTGAAGATACATTACCAGCAACTCTTAATAATCCTATGTTGGTAAGTCAACCTAGATGTGAAAAATTTAACCCTAATTCATGCGACATTGATGTTTGGAATATTAAATTCAAGGCAAATTTATGTTTGGGCAATATTACAAATGATGATATTAAAAGATGTTTATTCATTGACTGTCTGGATAGTACAGTACTTACATTGGTAACTATTTGCAAGCCAAAAGAAATTAGTGAATTTACTTATGAACAACTTTATGAACTTCTAGTAATACATTTCAAACAAGTAAAGTTTAAAGTTGCCGAAAGAGTAAAATTCTTTTCACTGAAGCAAGGTGTTGAATCTTTGTCCACCTTTGCAAGTAACTTAAAAGAATTAGCCAGCAGTTGTGATTTCCCTGGTGACTTTTATCAAGATGCTCTCATTACATCCTTCATAATGGGTATTAATGAAGATTCTATTAGAGCTAATTTACTTCAGAAAGATTACACAGATTTCAATACTGTACTTGAATTTGCTAGAACATTAAGTTCAGTTTTTACCACTTCAGCAAAGAAAAATCTGATTTCTTTTTCCGATAATGAGAGCAATGGAGAGGTTCTAAATACAAATTCAAACTATTTATGCTATTCTTGTGGTGGTAACCATTTTAGGAACCAATGTAGATTAAGAAATGCAATATGTAATAATTGTGATACAAAAGGTCACTTAGCAAAAGTTTGCAAAATTAAAAGGAGAACAGATTTTCAAAACAAAAAAATTGGTGGACATGGAAAAGGAACGTACAACAGACAAGTAAATTTCACTGACAATGAAAAAGGAAGAGATTCTAGGACCTTTATCGACTCTAACATACTTGATTGTTCACCTAAGTTGACAAATGAAGCTATTTTTTCTTTTGGTCTTCAGTGTCATAACGTCAGTGTATTTTCTCCAATTTGGGTTTCTATCTGTATCAATAGTATTTTAATTAATATGCAACTAGATACAGGAAGTTGTGTTTCTGTTATATGTCAACGAACTTGGGAAAGATTGGGAAAATTTCCTTTGTTACATTCAAATACAAAACTGACATCTTATAGTGGTCATTGCATAAACTTGATTGGTGAACAAACAGTTAAGTGGCATTCAGGAAAACTAAAAGAGAGCTAAAGCTGTACGTTGCTGAAGGTGGCACTCAGGATCTTTTAGGTAGAGACTGGATCGAGGAGCTTAAAATCAACGAATTGTCACTTAATTCATTACAAAGTGATTCTTTATGGGTTTCCAAGGAAGTTGATGACATTTAAAGGTCAGGGTTTCAAAGTTCACTTCCAAGAATGAGCTTAAGTAAATTAATTGATTCTAATAAGGAACTCTTTTGTAACAAAAGTGGCCATTGTACAAAATTCACGGCACACTTAATTTTAAAGGAAGACGCTTCTCCTATTTACAAGAAGGCAAGGCCAGTTCCATTTGCAATAAAGGACAAAGTGTGCGAGGAAATCGACAGACTTGTAGAAGCTGATCTGATAGAACCAATTGACTATTCTGATTGGGCTGCACCTTGTGTAGTTGTCAAAAAACCTTCTGGTCAAATAAGAATTTGTGCAGATTTTTCAACAGGATTGAATCAGGCTTTAAAGATTCAGAAATTTCCTCTACCTACACCTGAGGAAATATTTGCTAAGTTGAATGGAGGAGAAAAATTCTCAGTCATAGATTTATCTGATGCCTACTTAACAATACCAGTAGATAGAGATTCGCAAGACTTACTAGTGATTAATACCATCAAAGGACTTTACAGATACAAGCGACTTTGTTTTGGAATCGCATCCGCTCCAGCTATATTTTCTAAAGTTATGTACAACATGTTGAATGGGTTGCCAGGCGTAGCAAACTATCTAGATGATATAATTGTTACAGGGCACAATGATGAAGAACACTACAAAAATCTAGAGAATACTTTCAATAAAATTAAAGAGTTTGGATTCCAATTGAACAAAGATAAATGCAAGATTATGCAGGAAACAGTGACATATCTTGGGTTTGTCATAACTAAAAATGGCATACAAGTTTCGGATTCTAAAGTTCAAGGCATTGTAGATATGCCACAGCCATCAAATGTCAAAGAGTTAGAGGCATTTTTAGGGATGGTTACATACTACTCCAAATTCATACCAGAATTTTCAAAAGTTTGTTATCCTTTAAACCAACTGCGGAAGAAAGGAGTAGACTGGTTGTGGACTGATCAATGTAAACGCAGTTTCAACAAATTAAAAGACTTGTTAATGAATGCACCTATACTAACACATTACAATCCAGAGTTGCCCATCATTATCATTCTTGCTGTAGATGCATCAGCTGTAGGAATAGGTGCTGCAATTTTTCATAGATTTTCTGACAACTCTGAAAAGCCTATTGCATATGCTTCAAAAACATTGACTTCCACTGAAGCGAACTATTCTCAAATAGAAAGAGAAGGGCTGGCCATCATTTTTGCGATAAAGAAATTTCGCCCATATCTACTGGGAAAACACTTCATTTTACAGACCGACCACAGACCCTTGCTTACAATTTTTGAATCTAAGAAAGGGGTACCTACCACAACTGCCAATAGACTTCAGCGTTGGGCACTAATACTGTCTAACTATACGTATGACATTGAATACATATATACAAAAAATTTTGGTAAAGTCGATTGTTTGAGTAGATAACCGTCATTTCAACCTAATTCTTTTGATTCCAATGATGAGGGACACCATACAATAGTAGCGACAATTCAAACAGAAGTGCAGTCCGAGATTCCTATTACTTGTACTGAAATTGCTGAGGAGTCGGTTAAGGACCCTGTTTTGAAGAAGGTGATGCACTATGTAAAAGTTGGTTGGCCTAATAAGTGTCCAGATGAGAACTTGAAGCCTTATTTTTCTAAGAAAGATGCACTGACTCTACATAATAACTGTCTTCTGTGGGGAATAAGAACTGTTATTCCACCTAAATACCGAACTTACATCATGAACTACTTGCATGAATCTCACAATGGCATGGTCAGAATGAAGTCAGAGGCTCGGGGTCATGTGTGGTGGCCAGGTATGGATGCTCTAATTGAACAGACTTGTCACCGTTGCCGTGAATGTAACTTGTTTGCAAAAGATTTACCAAGTAAAAAACATCTATTCAACTGGCCTAAAGAAAGTGAACCTTGGAGTCGAATCCATTTAGATTTTGCTGGACCATTTTACGGACAAATGTTTCTCTTAGTAATTGACGCTTTCTCGAAATGGCCAGAAATAGTACCTATGTCCTCTATTACCACAGAAAAGACAGTAGAAGCGCTCAAGAATTTGTTGTGTAAATATGGAATACCTAGAACAATCGTCTCAGACAACGGAATTTCATTTACTTCGCAAGGTTTTAAAGATTTCTGCTTGCGTAATAATATCAAACATATTACGACTCCAGTAGCTCACCCAAGTTCTAATGGACAAGTGGAGAAAAATGTAGATACCTTTAAAAGAGCTATGAACAAATTACAGTACAATAAAGAGCCTAGCTTGTTCACAGACAACTTGAGGACATATTTATTTCGCTATCGAGCTACACCTCACACTGCAACTGGACAAACACCTGCATTTTTGTTCTTGGGTCGTAATATGCGAACTAAATTAGATTTTATCAAACCTTCACAAGAGATAAACTCAAGAGATGAACCTTCTGAAGTGCTGCGATATAAGAAAACCAGAGGCTTTTCTATTGGGAGTAAAGTGTACATTCGTACTTTTGTTGAAGGGAAAGTAAAATGGAAAATAGGAACCATACTTAGACAGTTAGGTGGAAACACATGGTTGATTGATTCTAATGGACACACTAAAAGACATACAAGTCAAATGCGGAAATTTTACCAAGACAATGAATCGGAAGAGGAAGTCGACCCCTGCATTAAACAATTACCACAGCTACTGTCTTCTTCAGATTTCCAAGTACGAAATGCAGAAGTACATGTTCGGAATTCAGAAAACCATGGATCACCAGCTGTATTCCCTAGCCCTACAACATTC